ATAGATAGATAGATAGATAGATAGATAGATAGATAGATAGATAGATAGATAGATAGATAGATAGATAGATAGATAGATAGATAGATAGATAGATAGATAGATAGATAGATAGATAGATAGATAGATAGATAGATAGATAGATAGATAGATAGATAGATAGATAGATAGATAGATAGATAGATAGATAGATAGATAGATAGATAGATAGATAGATAGATAGATAGATAGATAGATAGATAGATAGATAGATAGATAGATAGATAGATAGATAGATAGATAGATAGATAGATAGATGACAGAGAGGTGAGACTGAAAAAGAGAGGTAAGGTTGTTTGGGAAGAACCCTGAGGTAGTGTGCTGAATGGCTTCAGTTGTCAACTTGACATACCTGGGTAGAAGGACTCTCAATTAAGGAATTTCCTCCATTGGAATGACCTCTAGTCATGTCTGTGGAGCATTTTCTTTATTGTTGAGTGATGTGGGAGGGCCCAGCGCACTGTGGGTGATGCCACCCCTTGGGCAGGTGGTCTTGTGTTGCATAAGAAAGCATGCTGAGCACAGCACGGTCTCTGTTTCAGCTCCTGCCTCCAGGTTCCAGCCCTCATTTCTTGCCCTAACTTCCCTCAGTGATGAACTGTGACCTGGGAGATGTAAGATAAAATAAGCCCTTTTCTTCCCAAGTTTTGGTCATTGTTTTTTTTTTACAACAATAGAAAGTAACTAATACAGGAAATAAAATGGAGGTGGGAGATAAGAGGGTTGGGCCATAAGAATGGAAAGCTGGAGCTGGGGTGGGAAGGGCATTTGGGATTGGCTTCAACCTAAGATGAGGAGCTGGCTTTTGTGAGCTTCAGCATCTATCACACACACATATACCATCACTCCACAAAACTGGGGCATGGAATGCTTGAACTTACATCCAATTTAACAGCATGAATCAGCACCTCCTCTGTGTTCTCAATGTGGGAACAGAGATGATGTATACCCAAAAGAGATAAAAGCTAGTAGGCAATATAACCTATGATCAACTATAATACTAGGAAGTGCTAGTGTTTTGGAAGCTCAGAACAGAGAGAGAACTTGGGGGGCAGATAAGCAGGGTCCCAGAGGCTGCAGATCACCCATTCCAAGGCAAGCAGGAGGCTCAGAGGGGCAAGGATCAAACTCTCTGGGTAAGTCTTAGAAGTGGGGGGCAAGTGAGGAATCCAGAAATTTCAGAACCCAGCTGTGCCCCAATCTAGCCAGGCCTCTGGTAAGTAGGAGGAGGCCCTTCTGATCTGCACATGAAGGGGACAGCAGCCGGCAGCCTGTGACACAATTCATGTTAGAATGCAGGGCTGTTGGCAAGAAGTCCTGGACTAAGGTAGGGGAAGTCGATGGCAAAGGGACCAATTTGTCCACCTGCAAAGTAGAAGGGGGACAGCCTTCCGGTTCTGTATCCTGGCAGTCAATTCAGAAGGTGTGAGTGACCCCTGGAGACTGACGAAGTCTGCAGGAAATCCCAGTGGTGAGTGAGATCGCCTGATGTGAAGGGTTGCACCCAAGGGATCAGGATGGGGACCTTCGGCCAGTGAGGAATGTGGATCTGTGGGGAGTTGCACAGATTCATCCAGTAACTGTCCCACGTGGCAGGCTGACTGCAGAAGAGCAAAGTCATTTCGGGAACCAACCCACTTCTTTCTCCATTCCAGAGACCATTCTGGAAGCTAACGGTGCATGACACTAGCTTAGGGATAACCTTGAAACCACTCTCGTTTTCTTTCAAAGAAAACCGTTGGCAGAGTCAGTATTTTAATTATGATTGCTAATGAATTACTTGCTGCACCCCTCCCAACTGATTTTCCTGGGTCACTGTGTCAAGACAGTCAATTGAAAACTGTGGCACTCAAGTCTCAGGAGTTAGAAGGTTTACATTTCCCATACCTTACACATTTGACTCACCAGGGATTTAATAAATGCTGGTGCCTGCCCTCTACCCCAGGACAATTAAATCATGGTAGTTTGGAACAGGACTCAGATACTAATTGTTAGTGCTGGGTTTCCATTACGCCTCATTTGATGTTTAACCAGAGTTTAAGGTTAATGAGCAGAGGCCAACAAGGGGTGAAAACGGCCTACGTGCCCCTCTTCCTAACTTTTCCCTCTCTATGTCCTCCATAGAACCCCCTGGTCTTCCTTTCCAGCTCAGGTGGCTGATGTGACCAAGGAATCGTGACCATCACACAGAATGCCCCTGCCTAGGACTGCAGAGCCCCAGTGCTTGGCTACATTCTGGAACGGATAAAGAAAGGCAATAATCTGTGGGTGCCAGTCAACACGGACCCTGTTCAGTCCTAGGGACACAGGCTGGGGGCGGGGATGGGCAATCAAGTCTTGCTGGGCAGGCCCACTCTGAGCATACTCCCTCCCCTATCTCTTTTGGGCGTTTGACATCCCATGGTCTCCCACTCTGGTTGCTTACCCCATGGATGTCCCTGGCCTCATAAGCCCCCATCTTCCCATATCAGACACCAAGTACACCGTGGATGGCCTCAGAGAAGACACAGACTATTAAGTCTGAGCTATAGCTGTGAATAAGGCAGGCCCCGGTATGGCAGGATGCCATTCAGTTCAGTGGTGGCAAGGATCCTGTTAGTGAGTATGAGGCTGGCAGGCCCCAACACATAGAGGAACCAGCCCATTTGAAAGAGAATTAATTCACGGGAAAGTCTGATAGGAAGGATCACAATCTCCACTCTATGGCAGCCTCACAGAGGAGCAGGATTCACACCCAAGAGAAAGCCAACAAATAAAAATGAGCATCACGGACAGTGAGAAGGCAGGGTGGGGAAAGGTTTTCTCAAGCTTTGGTATTTATTGTTAGGGAGGGGAATAGAGACAAACTGGGAACTGAGTGAGGGCGCTGGGTGGGTAGCTGGGAATGTCTTGAATTTAGGATGAGGAAGAATGTCACCTGTAACTGTGGTAGAGATGGCCACATTAAATCCAGGGTTCTGAATGTTGAAAATACGTTGAATTTGGGGGGTATTGATTTTATGCGATTGAGTTGGTAGGCCTGAATTGGCACATTATTGAGTGTTCAGGTGTTAAGGGTGGTTGCCATAGGAACTTTGAAGAAGCAGTAGAAAAGGTAGGGTTCAGGCATACTGAATGTGGGAATTGGGCAGAGTTGGGTTGGATGAATTTAGGGCTGGCTGAATGTCTGTGCTACCCTAGAACCCCCAGGCCTGGTACAAGGCCAGCACATGCCTGATTCCTCTAAATCCAGCATCTCCCTTGGCTCGAGGGAGCCTGCAGAGGGGAACCATCTGGCTACATCCTTGAGATGCAGGCTGAAGGCAGCAAGGACTGGTCTGAGTGCAGGAAGATCCCCATCTCAGGCACCTGCTCCACGGTGGGGAGCCTCACTGAGAGGCAGAAATACTTCTGTATCTGAGCTGTCAACAGGCTGCTGTCGGGGAGCCTGTGGAGCTAGATGAAGGGGTTCATGCTATGCCACTGCCAGGTGAGGACACAGAGCTAGAGGTTCAGGGCCAAAATACAGCTCTAAACCTTTCCCTAAGGTTTCATCCCACAGGGAAAGATTGGGTGATGCTTCGATCAAGTAAAAGTCAGCCATAACTTCTCGTGCCTGAACAAAGGATCACCCCAGGGACTCCCTTGCTGGGCAAAGAAAAAACAAAACACCATGTGCCAAGCAATGTTCTTTGTGTTCCAAGAGAGGTGTCAGGAATATAGAAACAAATAAAACACAGGCCTGCCTTCCCAGATCTAACCTACAAAGACACAGATGAGAAAATCAATGCTTCGTAGTGTTGTGAGGCAGCCAGGCATCCACATATGGTCTGTAGCACAGCCATGAAAGAAGAGGGGTGAGGAAAGGCTTTGGAGGGGTGCTTAATGCCAAAGAGAGGTCCACACCCCCACCTCTGTCTTCCACCCCAGCTGCCCCTGAGTTTGACCCCAGTGCCCAGCTGGAGTCACATGGTAGTGCATGCTGGGACTGCCTTGTGCATCCATGCGGCCTTCTCTGTGAGCCTTCCCTGATGCCGGTCCCCCTATGTATGACAAGTTGGAGGTTATAGCCATTACTGTCTTTGACTGCCACTCCCCAAATCCCCGACTCTGGAGCCTGGCAAGAGAAGCTCGACAACTGGGGCGAGCTTTCCTCCAAATACCATCTGGGTGACCAGTGGTGCTGTTCTCCTGTCTCTCACTGTGACCTGGCAGAAGGGTGGCATCGCCACCAAGGGCTGATGAAACCTTGGCTGGGAAACCATCACCAGGGACAAAAACTTCTCTCAGTTCCTCATTAATAGCACCAAGCGTCCTGACTCAGGAGTGTTATCAGATCTTGCTCCAGAATGAGTTTGGAGAGGCACACCATGGTATTCATGTGTGGGAGGTACAGACAGTGGCAGAGGCCTCCAGGGGATGTCCATGCATATATTGTCCAAGTAGGGGGGAGGCAGGTACAGAGAGTGTGCAAGAGGGCTCCAGGGAATGTCCATGCACATACTGTCCATGTGGTGGGGCGCTGGTATAGAGGGTGGGCAGAGGCTTCTTAGGGGGTATCCATACATATGTTGCCCACATAGGGGCCATACATATGTTGCCCACGTAGGGGGGAGGCAAGTACAGACAGTGGCAGAGGCCTCCCAGCAGTGCCTTTGCACACTCTCCAAACTGTAGCTAACCCCTTGCTGCTTAGCAACCTAAGACACAATTGTCCACCTTTAACAATAAAGCCTTCTTTGACGCCACAAAAGCAAGGTTTTATCACCCTTTGCCTGGTAGAGAGTTTTGTTTTTAACTCTCCTATCTCAGAGTCCTGATGCCCTGGAGACACTGACCTAAGACACAGTCCTTGTTCCAGATTCTGTAGTCACACCTGATGCGCTATGAGGCGTACACAGAGCACAGTCTGCAGGGAGAGTAGAGAGGGTGGGAACCAGAGTGGATGGGTCAATTGAAAACTGGAGTGACCTCTTACAGAGGACTAGAAACTTTGAAACACAAGTCTAAACAGCTCCAAGAACGGGAAGGAATGAACTTTTACTGAGTGGTAATCACACACAGCCACTTTGCCCCTTATTCCTGTCAAATGAGTCGCCATGGCAAGTCATTTTGTAGTTAGGCAATGGGTCTCATAAAAAAAAGATACAGTCTTGGGCCTCTCTCCCATTGAGCTATGGGACCCCTTTCCTCCTCAGCCAGGGCTAGCAGCCAAGGTCAGCCCTTGAGGATCACTGTCAGGACCACCATGAGTGGGCAGTCTTGTTTTCCTGCCTCAGACACTGAAAAAAAAAAAAAAGACACAACTTGCTGAAGGTCAGAGAGCTATTAAATGTCAAGTGACACTTCAGAACAGGTTTCTCTGACTCCAAGATATGTGCTGCCCGAGACTCAAAGGAAAGTGTAACAGCTCCCAACAGGTCTAGCAGGTGGCTAGGACAGGGACACAAGTTCAACCTTCAGGGTAGCCAACAGACCTGGTAACTCTTCAGGATTTCTCCAGACCCCCGAGCAACCCACAGATGTTTGAGGAGGTTCCCCACACAGTGACTATGACCTGGAAGTCACAGTCCACTATGTCATCCTAAAGAGGGACGCTAGCAGCCCCACCTGGTTCACCACAGCTGAGCATGTCTTCAGGGACAAGTGCAGGGTGACGGGGCCTCCCTGGCAGGAAGTGCTGCTCAGAGTGGTGGCTCAGATGGAATTGGTGACAGCAACCCACTGGACTCCAAGGATACCTGGCTAGCCCGTAAGGCCCAGAGTGAGATTAGAGGTCTATGTTACATCCGGGAGCCCTGATGAAGAGGACAGATAAAATCAGAGGACCACTGAGCTGGAGGGGCTATCAGCAGGACGTTGGGGAGAATAGATATTGGGGAAGTTTAGCAGAGAAACCATCTTAGGGGTACTCAGTGATGAGACTCATATGCTGGTGGGAAGACCTTTGGGGACCCAGAGAGTAGTGAGGGGGTGGGATTACAAAGGAGACTTGGGGCCTGTATAAAGGAAGGGAACTAAAGCAGGTAAGGGTTGGGAGGAGGCTGAGAACCCTAAAGGGAAGGAAGGGGTTAAGGGTAGAGATTGCACTGGAAAGCTAGAAATGAGGGATTAAATGGAACATAAGAACTTAAAAGCTGGGTTGACATAGGGGAAGTCTGGAGGTCTGCATGGCCAGGGTAAACAGCTGTGAATACCAGGGACTGAGAAGTTGGTGCTAGAACAGCATCTGAGCACCCTTAGGTCTGCGAAAGTGAACAAACCTGTGAGCTAACCCAGCTGGGGAAATCCTGGAGTCGCCCTAGGGGTACTGCAGGGGTGCGAGAGTCCTAAGAACAGTATATGGTTGGAGCCCCGGAGTTGCTAGTTCCTGTGAATATGACCCAGGTCTTCCAGGTTCCAAGTAAAGTGGGTCTCCTGGGTACCTTTGGAGTTCTAAGATGTGGGTGGCTCACAACTGCCCCATCCCACCTCTGCAGTTGAGGACCTGAGCATCAAGTTGAAGCCCTACCGGCAGGACTAAGCCACACATGAGGCTCCATAGCCAGGACTGCACCACGACCTGTGCCTTCCTTGGGAACCCACGGCCCATGGTGACCATCTACAAGAGCGATGTCAACATCAACTCTAGTTCTCGTACAACTCCACCGGTGGCATGTGCACCCTGGTCATCGCCACCTGCACACTTATGGACAGTGGTGAGCACAGCATACTGGTGGAGAAAGAGCTGGGCAGGGACTGCAGCAGCTGCACTCACCATTTACAGGGAGGACACTACCAGGGCTGGTCCGCAGGGCAGGCACATCCACCCAGTTCAAGGGCAGGGGCCCAAGCCATTAATCAACTCTCTTCAACTGGTTGCTGCTATCAAGTGGTACAAACACTCTCCCACCTTATCAATGTCATTTGTAATGTTCCTGGCCCCTGCAGGTGTGGGAGTTTGTGATCCCTTGATCAGCTGTGGTTTGCACCCATTGATGGCTGAGGTCTTCCTTTAAAAAGATATTGATCATTAGGTTTAAATCAGACTCACCCATCACAATTATCCAGCAGGGTTCCTGGAGGAGCCTGTTTCCAAAATCTCTGCTGTGGTTCCGATATGCACCAATTTTGGAAAGCACTGGCCTAGGATAAGGACAGGTGGGAGGGGAGGCGGAAGGGGACCCCTCTTGCCTTACTTTTGCTTGTGAGGATGCACGTGGGGGAGATACTTTGCTCCTACACAGTCTACCATCTTCACAGCAGACAGTGTGACCCCTCTAAATGCAAGGCCAATCCGCCTTGCTGCCACTTGTTGAAATTCCCTTTCACCTTCCCCTACCTCATGTTAAACTCCCAGACAGGCACCCTGTTCCCCCATCTCTCCAGCTTCATCCTCTGTCACACCCTCAGATTCTCTGTGGTGGTAGTGTCGGCTCCACAGTTGTGGTCTCCATGGTTAGTTTTTTTTTTCAGCCCATTACAGATGCCTTTCCTTGGGGAAAAGACCATATCCCATGTCTCTCAAGTGCTCAGCTGCGTGTCAGGCACTGGGAGAATGATGCTTCCAGAACGGCTGTTGAACCGTGTAACAGAACTAGGCAGGGAGGGCACTCGGGGATGGGGTAGTAAAGGACCTCCAGCTTTCCTTCCACAGCCAGAGCCTGACATACTAACTCTGGTTGGTTGTAAGCCTGTGAATCAGGGCCTGGATGCCACCACTGACCAGCCACAGTTGAGTGGCAAACCATCCTTCTGAGCCTGTTTTCTCACCTGTTGGGGTTGTGAGGAAGTGCCTAGAGCAATGCCTGCAAAGCGTGTGCCTGGGTGGCAACTCTTGATCCCACACATGGCTAACCCAGGTTTAGGGGACATAAGGTCCAGTTCCCTGTTTCTATATAACAACTCAAGCCCAGCGATTTCAATTTTTTCACTTTTTAGCATCATTACCACTAATAAATATTTGCTTTAATCTTTCAGACAAAGGTTGACAAATCAATCCCAGCATCGCTCACTGAGTATCCACAGAGGAAAGCAAAGCACCTTATGTGAGCTCCAGTCCAGAGGCATCAGAGGCCGCTGTGAGTTTGCCTTCTGGTATATGCCACCATAAACATGCTGTGAAGGGATGAGACAGTAAACTCCCTGAGCTCAGCCCCTCTGTTCCTGAGTCAGTGCAACAGGACCATGGGGATGAACACGTGTAGGGCAGACCAGTCTCCAAATTCACCACATGGGGTCACCTTGTGACTTGCCTTCCCCTTCCCCACAGCCATACTGACCCCACCCTCCCCTCATAGCACAAGGGCAAGTCTTGGTGACTTCACCCTCCTCATCGCTCCCTCCCATGTCTTCACATAATGTAGGTCTATGTCCAGCATTCTGGTGTTTAAAAGGATCAGGACATTAGTCCTTTAGTGTCCAGGGATTCTCCCACCCAAATAACAAGGGACTGATCATCCAGTTTACTTGTTTTAAACATGTTTTACAGTAGAACACTTTCTTGGTCTTAAACTACTGACTTGAAGTAATAGAGGGTCTCTGACCCTTGCTTCTCTCCTTTTGCTACCTGCCCCCATGAAAGGCTTCCTAAAAAGCCTAGTTTGGATCACCTCAATGGCTCACAGTAGTACAGAGCTCAGTGGTAGAACACATTTCAGCATGTGAAAAGCCTTGGGTTTAATCCCCAGCACCAAAGAAAAAACAAAACTGTCTGAAAAGTCATGGATTCATTCAATACCCATGAGATTTGAATCTCCTACATCATATCCCAAAAATGGACAGCAATTATGCCAATGGTCTACTCCCCACCATCCAAGGTAACCCTTTCCACTTCCAGGGTAGAGCATAGCTTGTTAAAATGCCAGTGCCTCTGAGTGGAGTAGCACATTATTCTGCCAAGGCTTCAGATCTAAAGCAAGACTCAGTCAATCTAATCCATTCCTCCCAGCTGATCTGCTGTGTCCAAGGAGATGCTACAAGGGAAGTCTGCATCCTATCGGAGCAGCAGCAGGTCTGAGCTGGGGACAGGGAGTCTGCAGCAGCAGAATGCACTGCATAGCTAAGTTACCAAGATTGCTGGGCACCTAGGAAAAAAGGAGTCTGTCAAGGACAAACATGGACAATGGCAATACCCATCCCCCACCCTCTTGACCTACAACCTCAAACACACACGTGACCAGGGAAGTGAGACCCACTCAAACAAGTACAGTGTCAGCAGAACCAGGGAGCCAGGCTGGCGCCAAGATGCCCTAGCCAAGACGGTGACCCAGGCTGTGAGGACAGCTAGGGCTCCTGGCACCATGCCTCCACCCCTCCACCCCTGTCCAGGACAGGCACGTGCCACACAGGCAGACAAGTTAGAAAGCCAGAGGTCCTTGGTTTTTATTTTTCTCACATGGGCAGCAGAGGATGGAGGTACCCCACCCTTGCTCCCCTTGCATTGACTGTGCCTTGGGTCTTAAGACCCCAAAGTGTCACTGGAGTGCCTTCCTCTTTCTCCCAGTACAGGAGGGACAGAGAGGAAAGCATCATTGTTGGTGTGTCAAGGAAGGGCATCCTGCTCTCTGAGCCAGGGTAAGCGCCCCTCAGTACTTCTCTGAGGTCCTCTCCCTATTAGTTTTTTACAGACAGCAGAACAAAGACACATGGCAGAGAAACACAGACAGGCTGGGAAAAAGAACACACACTTCCTCTTTCTCCCAGTACAGGAGGGACAGAGAGGAAAGCATCATTGTTGGTGTGTCAAGGAAGGGCATCCTGCTCTCTGAGCCAGGGTAAGCGCCCCTCAGTACTTCTCTGAGGTCCTCTCCCTATTAGTTTTTTACAGACAGCAGAACAAAGACACATGGCAGAGAAACACAGACAGGCTGGGAAAAAGAACACACACACACACACTTCTACGGGGGGGGGGAGGCGCTGGCCCCTTCCTTTGGCATGGTTCACCCTAGCCCTGGAGACAGTATAAGGCATGAGGCCTGAGCTCTGGACTAGCCTATGAGAGACAGGGCCAGCCTGAATCCTTTCTACCCTCAAGCTTCCAGACCAATAAAGTTCCCTCTACTGCCTATCCTAGACAGACACCCATTCACCACTGAGGCTGTTCAAGTAACAATGCTAGACAAGGGAAAACTAGACTCTACCCCCATCCAATCTTCCCAACTAGAAGGCCTGCGAAGGGGCTTCAAGCCCTGATCCTGGTCATCTCAGAAGAGAAAAGGTGGGAATGGATGAGCCTGGCACTGCCTTTGGTCTTAGGCATAAGAGTCAGATTCTTCCACCTAGTAGAGAAAGAGACGGGTCAAAAAGCTGAGCACCATCACCTTCTGAGAGGGCGGCGACAGTCCTTATGGGGTTGAGGTGAGGAGATGTCTACTGGCTTAGGTGAGGGACATGACACTGCCTCTCTGAACTCTCAGCATCATCCTGGACTGCCATCTTTCCAAGGGAGCGCCTTCTCCTGACGCCCCCTCAAGCCTGCCTGCCACCTTCCCAGGAGGTACCAGCTTGTCCCAGGATGGCATTGTAGCCATCCTGATCCAGCTCCTGCAGACTCTCCGAGTCCGGGTCCCAGCCCCAGGAGACAAGTGAGCAGACCCCAGGCCCTCAGTTGGCCTTGCTCAGTCTGTAGTTGTCCACTGGCTCACGGCTCTCAACAGCTGACAGGGCGATGAGCATCTGCGCAGCATAGTATGTGGACATGATGAGCGCCCGAGAGTAGGGCACAGGAAAGCAGAACTTGTTGAGAGCGATGGTCAGGTCTGAGACAATGAAGAGCAGTGCACCACCACCAGCCGCCAGTTCCGTCCAACGCCAGGCTGCCCCGACCAGCCGCAGCCCCGCCACAGCTCGCCAGCCCATGAAGCTGATAAGGGCCACATAGACCCCCACCAGGTAGGTGAAGGCACCCGACAGCCCTGGGTAGAGTAGGGCATAGCACAGGCCTGACAGCACTGCTATCACCAAACCTGTCCGGAGAGCCAGCGGCCGCATGCCAAAGGCTGAGGCATAGAGCATGTGGGTCACAGCAAACATCAGAAGACCTGGGAATAAGAAAGGATAAAGGATGCTGAAGTCGGGCTTGATGAGCAGTGAGTACTGGGGTGTAAGGCAAAGGGACCCAGCAGCTTTGTTTTGGGATTGATGGGGTGGGAAGATCCATAAAGGTTAGTTACCCTTTTCACACTGCCTTCGAGAGCTTAAGAACTAATGCCTATCACCTACAAGGTCATCCTCTAACGGAAGACCCAAGTCGCCCACCTCAGAAACCATAAAACTCCCTATTCAACAGTTCTTTCTTCCAAATCCTTGCCCCACCACCCCAGGACCCTCTTTCCCTAAGCCCTAGGAGCCTTCCCAGGCAGCTCCTATGACCACTGACCGTGCTCAAAGTAGCCATGGTCCTGCCAGATGAGGAAAGCATCACCCACAGCAGAGAAGACCAGTCCCACAAAGATGCGGGAGGCACTGGGGTGAGCCAGCAGAAATCCCAAGCCATGGGCCAGAAGGAACAGCCAGAGACAGAAGATGGGCAGGCACTTGATGAGGGCGCTGACCCACGATGGGCTGGATGAGGGCAGCCAGAGCACAAAATACACACAGGTGGCCTTGAAGAACGGCACCAGTTTGGGTCCCTCACTCTTCACCTGGAGGAGACAGAACAAGGGCAACATTCAGAGGTTGGGCGTACAGAAGCTTGGTTAGGGCTCAGACAGCATCTTTCCCCAGGGCTACAGTACACAAACCACCCACATACCACCCAGAAAAAAGGACTAACAGAGAAGCCCAATCTGTCCTGCTCCAACCAGCCTGGCGTGCCTACAGGATGTAAACAAACCCATCATTGCCCTGAGGATCAGTTTATCAGGATGGGCAAGGGTTCCACAGTCTCTAGAATGTTCCCCACTGTCATTCAGTGCTTTTCTCTTTCTGCCTCCTCCTGTCCCCTCCAAGGGGGCATCTTTAGCCCTGCCAACCTCAGCTCACAGCTGTCTGGAACTGGAGTAAGGTCAGTGGGAAACCACAGGGACACACTGACTAACTCAGGAGCCCAGCCTTGGGGCCTTGACTCAGGTTTAGGACCCTGGCAACACCAGGCAAGTGCCAGGGATGTAGGAGGGTGACACCACCTCCACCCCCACAGGCTTTCCCTCTTGCTCAGTCTGCACCTTTGTTCACCTCCAGGATACTTGTCTCAGACCAAAGGTCAAGGGCAGGGAGAGATGCCTGAGGTGCTGGGGAGAGAAATATCTGTATTGGGAGCAAGAAAACTATCCCTGAAACATCAGAGATTTGAAGGACTGTGGAAGGGTTGGAGGAGGGGGAGAACATTGGGTCACTCCTTTCCCAGAGAACAAGAGCGACTTGAGGCGCACCAGAGACAGGAAGGGGGGTGGGAAGGGCTTCTTGTCCAGCTTCTGATCTGGAGCCAGCAGACAGGCTGGGAGGAGATGGGGAACTGAGGGGGGAAGTTGGAGCAGCTGACTTGGTCTCAGCTGGATTAGGGGGGAGGGCAGCTAAAGAAAGGTTGTACTCAAGGCCACTGCAGGACAGTCCAGGCTGGGGGAGGGGACTGCTGCCGATGTTCTGTGGTCCCCTAATGAGCCTTCCCTTGGGCTGCTGGATCAGAGTTTCTGAGACTGAACTGGAGCAGCTGGGGTTCCCTGTGGACCCACACTCTGCCTAAAGTGCTCATGTCTCTGGCTGGATGAACTGTCCCACACAGGGGTCTGGGGACAGACTCAAATACCCAGGCCACCAGGTATACCTTGGGGCTGTCAGACTGTGATAGATGAGGGGCTGGGAAGTGGAAGACGGTGAGTCCAGGCTGCTGGCCTGCTCCTGCTCCTGTTCCGCCAGAAGTGAGAGATGGGGGCAGAGTTGACACTCCCTTCCCAAAGAAACTCCCTTATCAGGACTGGTCCGGGTGAGGACATGGCCAGGGGGAGGAGACCAGAGGGGGATGCCCAGTTCCACCTGCCGGCCCTCAGCAGTATCAACAATTCCCTCCAGCCTCATGCCCCAGCCCCATATTTTCTAGAAGGTGATGAGACCATGACAACCCGAGAGTCCAGCATTGGAAAAAGAAGGACACAGAGGCTGGAGTTGAGAAAGGAGGCTGTGTCTCTAAAGAGCAGGCCATCTTCCCTAGCGCCTGTTGGCAGTCGCTTAGGCTGAGGGTCCCCTCCTGCGCCTCCGAGACGAAGAAGAGGAAACCAAGTTGGGACAGGATTCCCAGGAGGACCCCGCCACCCCCCGGCCCCCGCCCTCCCCACGCCTCCGGGTGGTCCCGCCAAGCAGCATCCCGGGGCCCGCTGCCGCCTGGTCCGGGTCCCCGACCAGGACCCCTCCAGACACACTCGCATCAACAAAGTCACGCTTCCGAGTCACGTGCGCGACGCTTCCTCCCTCCCGCCTGCAGACCTGGGGTGCGGGGGAGGGGAGCTGCGGGGCGCGGAGCCGGGGGCCGGGACCGCCGCCGCCTAACTCCGGGGGACCCCAGCCCCCGCCCCGGCGGTCCGGCCTGCGGCGGCCCCGTCCCAGACCCGGGCGAGCGAGCTCGCGCACTCACCACCGTGACCGGGGACACCATGGCGGCGGCCGCACCTGCTCCGGGGCTGCAGCGCCCGGACGCGCCAGCGGCCAGGTGAGCCGCCGTGGAAACCGAGCGGGGCGAAGGACAGTACCTCCCGCGCGCCGGGAGCTCGGGGTACTGTCTGTGAGCCCCGCGACGTCACCACCGGCCGGGCCAATGAGCGGGCCTGAGCCCTGGGGTGGGCGGGGCCCGGCTGGCGGCGCCGGCCCGGCTAGGCAGGGATCTGCCGGGAGAAAGGAGGTCCCCTGGGCTGGGGGCGGGGGCTCTAGGCCACGCCCCTGGGAGGCGTGTCCGGGCATCCCGGAACGTGACCGCGACCCCCACGGGTGAGGAGCCAGTTTGGCCCCGAGACAAGCACATCCTGGCCGAGGGCGCTCAGCGGGACGCATTTTCTCTTGGCTCCAGAACAAGAGGCAAAGACAGATTCCCTCCAGCCTTTAAATGTGCAGCCTAGGCAGACGTAATTGCAGTAAGACAGCTTTCACAGTGCGCCCTCGCGGGTCCAAATTCACCCGGGTGGGTCAGAGGACACCCGACCTTCAACACGGAAAGAGATGCCTGTCTAGACACATGCAACGTATGTACACAGTTGTAATCAGCACGTGCAGACACTGAACAAATACACAGATACCGTAACTGAGGAACCGTGGGACCCCCATCCTACAAATAAGGAACTGTGGATTGACTCCCATCTTTCGTCGTACCGCAGAGCCAGATGTAAGCAAGCACCATCCTGTGCATGGACCACAAAATACCAACATGTAAACAAGCACAGGCACTCAGTTGCCTTAGGCACACACCCCTCACAGTTGGGACAGGCATACACACACACACACACACACACACACACACACACACACCAGCAAGGCAAAAATGACAGACCTGAGCACACTTAAGGAATGTGGACTAACTTTGCCAGAAATACAATGTAAGCAGGTATGGTGCTAATGGGCCGAGGCACTGTGTGTTCAGAATTCCAGGATGTACATTGGGTGGCCTCCTTGGGTGTCAAATGGATCCGAATCCAGCCCCATTTTTGCCATTTCTACGGCCTGTGATTGGGTGAATCACTTCTCTCTGTCCTAGATTTCATCATCTACAAGATGAGTGAGCTACCTCTAAGGCTCTGCCCAACCCAAACGTGTAGGATGGGAAAGGAAAAAGGCTCTGGCTTCAGGAAATACAAATCTGTCTCGTAGGCTTCATGGAAATGGAAGTTTCAGATACATTTCAAAGGATGAACAGTGTTGTGGCTGTGGCATCAGGAATGGGAAGGAGGGGCTGACCAGGCCTAATTAACAGTCACCAAGGAGTCTCTTCCTGGGATGGGGATACCCAGGCCCTAGTGCTGGACCCCAACCTCTTGCAAGCAAGGGAGACCCATACAGGCCGAAATCTCCTGTGAGCCCTTCCCAGTTGTCTTCCCACAGTCATTCTCTTCAGTTCTCTTCTGGGCCCTACCCAGCTTTCCCCAACCCTCAGCTGTTGACCTGGCACCCACTCAGAGAGGGACAGTCCTCTTCTAATGACAAAATTGACAGCCTGGGATTCCAAACAAGGTCCAAGAAGGCTCAGGGTCAAGGTTTGGGAGAGAGGAATCACTTACTTCCTCTCTGGGCTTGCCCCTGAAATCCGACTGCCCTGTCTTTTTTCCAATCAGAGGCCATGAGGAGACCACCTGCCTTATCAGAATGGGAACCAAGACAGCTGCTCCCAAGGCTTTGTCATATACACCCACACAAAATGTGCTGCCTGGAGGAGCACTGGACTGGGAGAAGTACTGGGTTTGGTCCCCCTTCCCCATTGCTTGCAGGTGGCATATTTGAGCATATAATTCCTTGTCTCTGGATCCTCAGTTCCCCTTCAACAAAACGGTTGTAGAACAGGACATACATTCCCGTTTTCCAGCCAAGTCCTCTCCTGTCTTACATAGCACTCATACAGCAGCCACATCAGGGTTTTTTCATTTCTCTGGACCCTAATTTGCCTAATTATAAAAATGGGGGCTGGAGAGATGGCTCAGCGGTTAAGAGCACTGACTGCTCTGGCAGAGGAACCAGGTTCGATTCCCAGCACCCACATGGCGGCTACGAACCGTCCTTAACTCCAATTCCAGGTGAATCCGAAGCCCTCTTCTGACCTCCGTGGCATTGCACGACATGGGTACACTCACATACATGCAGGCAATACACTCGTACACACAAAATAAAAAAGACTATTAAAAAAAGAATAAAAAGTAAAAAAGAATAAATAGAATTTTTAAAAGAGAGAAGGTAGCAGAAGGTGTCTTTAATCCTAGCACTTGGGAGGCAGAGGCAGGCAGATCTCTGGTTCAAGGCCAGCCTGATCTACATATTGAGTTCCAGGCCAGCTGGGGCTACAGGGAGACCCTGTTTCCAAAAAGACCCCCCCCCAAAAGGATGAGATTTCTCTCCAGAGACAGAGACAGAGAGACAGAGAGACAGAGAGAGACAGAGACAGAGAGAAGATAAACTTTATTAATGGTTCTTAACAACTGGGACCTACCAAAATTCCTTCAGAAGCTTTTTTTAAGAACATAAATATCATTATGTAGGCCTACTAATTCACCAATTTTAATAAGCTTCATACACAAACACTTAAATATACAAAACATGAGTTCTAGAAATGTCATCCACAGAATTTTACTGGCAGTGGGTGAAGTAGTCACATACATAGGCAGCCCATGGAGCTGAACCATCGTTCCTCCATGCTGGTGACTCTCCATGTGCCCTCTCACCACCCAGAACCATTCTTGGGCCTTCTCCCCAACTCCAGTGCCCAAGCCTTATGGGTTGAAGCACGAGGGCTCACCAGGACTCTAACCCCTCGCTGAGTTCAGCTGAGATACAGCGGCCAGTCTAAGGGTGGGAGGAAAGTATGAATAAGACCCACGGGACCAGGCTGAGAATATGGCAGTTCTAGAAGGTGTGCTCCTCCCTGGCTAGTTCCAGGCTCTCATCCTGGAATCTCAGGCCTGGGGCAGCGTGCCTCTGGACCTATGACTGGATTTGTTACCCAATCCTCATCTTATACTGCCTACTTGACCTAACTGAATTTCTACCCCATTATAATCTTATCTTGAAGACAAGATGCCTGTAGGTCAGAAATCCTCCTTCATGTGGCTAAGCAAAACTAGTTGGATCTAAAATGGCTGCTAGCATAACGGCTAGACAACTTCCAACTCCTTATGATTCCATATGGTTTCAAGTTAAATGACACCCCTCAGTACCATAACAAGTGACCACAAAGAACCATAAAAAGAGCAAAAAACAGGTGGCACCTGAATTTCTAAAAAACCTCCATCCATTCCCAGAAAAGGATGGGACTAACTGTCCCCTTTCCTAGCCTATCCCCTCCCCTTGATTTCTTTTATCTTGTCTATAACCTCCTGATTCCCAGAATTTGGTGCAGTTAATTTGCAAATCCACCTCCTACTTCTGTCCTGGCCAAGAAAAAAAAAATCTCTTTCACTGCTCAGTGAGCATTCTGTTTTTCTTTGCTTTGTTTTGAGACTCATCTCACTACACAGCCCTGACTTGCCTGAACTCGTTATGTAAGTCATATCCACCTGCTCCACCTCCCCGGTGCTGGGATTAAAGGCTTTGTGCCACCATGTCCAACCTCTGTTTTATTATCGATTCCATAATGCCAAGAGGGGAAAAGGCACTAATTTGGGGTCAAATACTAGGGCTAACAGTTTCATTAGCCCTGTCCACACCTCTGCAGATAGTCGTTAATTTTCTACAATTAAATTCTCTAGATGCTGAGACCCTTGACTGATACAGACACTAACCACTTTGCTTCCCCCCCAAAAAAGAACTTACCCTAATTTTAATTATATAGGTAATATATCTTGATTCAATTTTTTATTTTCTATTCAGTTGTTTGGGTTCTTAGGTTTTGCTTTTTGCTGTTGTTGTTTTCATTAACTTCATGTTTCAGGTAGCAAAGAGTGGAATGGGGTTGCCTGAAAAATGGCATTCCTCCCTTTCTGTACCCAAAATGACATCAGCTCATCCTTTAAACAGTTTTGTCATTATCTCTGTACTTGCTTGCTGTAAGAATGTCAGCCCATTCACTGTTCTAGCCAATAGATGTATGCCGTGTACCTACATATATACCAGCTACTATGTTCGATACTGGAGTTGCAAATATTGAGTTAAAAATATAGGCTCTGATCTCACAGAATTCACAGTTCACTTCAGACAGGCAAGTAAACAAACATGTAGTGTGGTAACTGAAATAATTGAAGTGTGAAGCTAGGTGTGTCACATGCCTCTAGTCATAGCTGCTCAGGAGACTGAGCCCACAAAAGTCATGACCAGCCGAGTCAACAAAGTCTCTGGGAAACAACAATAATAACTGAGATATGCAGCTATATCACAAGTGGAGGTAGGTGGGGCTAAATCCAGGAAAGTATTTTCATCTTCACTGAGAAGTGGCTATGACTTTCTAGGAAAAGGGAATCACGTGGACTCAACAGCACAAGACACACTGAATTCAGGGACATGTCTGTAGCATGGGGAGTGATGCGGCGATCTGCAGAGTGAATATTGAGAAATTAGAGGTGTAGGCAGGAGCCAGGTCAGAAAGGACCTTGAAGGTTCTCCTGAGGAGTTTGGACTTGACCCAATAGATACCCATTGTTTTCTGCTCTTACCTTCTTCCCTGGTTGGCCTTGGCTTTACACAGACATGGGACAATGCGTGGACGTGGCAGACAGCCTTCCCTAGGTGTGTTTTCGACTCCCCAAAACATAATCTTCACTCCTACCCTGCTCTACCCCACCTAAGCCACAGATCTAAAGAGAAAATATTATAAATCTCAAGAACTAATAATATGATCAGGTGAAACTGTGATAACAGTATGGGAAAGTGAGTTAATGAGGTTGTTGGTGGGTAGGTGGGTGGGTGGGATGGTTTGGTTGGTTGGTTGGTTGTTGGTTGGTTGGTTGGTTGGTTTTGAGACAAGGTCTCACTGTCTAACCCTGGCTGGCCTGGAACTCACTATGTAGACCAGGCTACCTAGACAAGATCTCACTGTCTAACCCTGGCTGGCCTGGAACTCACTATGTAGACCAGGCTGCCTAGACAGGGTCTCACTG